GAACCTTCGCTCTTGCAAGTTAGCTTGACAGCAGAGTTTATGGACTGAAGACTTTGATTAAAATGTTCCTGAAAGCTGAAAACATGCGATTCCTGCTTTCATTTGGGAGTGTGATCAGACAACAATAAAAAGCCCAATATGCACCACGGATGCGATATTTTATTCTAAAAAATAGCACTCGTGAATCCGTTGAATAAATCATCGTAAATTTATGAATTCGGTGGCTAGTCACGTGAATTCAACTTAAGGGTATATAGACGCACCTTTACTATGCTATAAATCACGCAATAACATCTGCATCGTTGTCCTGTTGTGTTGTTTCAAGACCCGCAAAGTGCGCCTATAAAGTCACAAATTTGTCGCGAAGGTGAAGCAATGAACGCAATAGACACATATTGGAATGCCACGCGTAGAATGACCAGCAGATCGCAACGTGCTCCGCGTTTCTCACGCACAAATGACGCACGAAACGTACTCTACGGTGCAGATGAACATGAATAGGCATTAGAGTTGTAACATCGCTCTGCCTGAAAAGCGCGCTATTTTCGCAAACCTAGACTGTCCAAAGATTGCAGTGCCCTTTGTTCACCCGGTAACTAAAATATAATCGTTCCGGTAAAAGCCAAACACCAGCCAAGACGTAAAATCCTCGCTACCACGAGATAAGGGCGCACGAGTCAGTGTCGACCCGTGCTCTTTGCGAGACAAAGTGCGCGTGGGAAATGAGAGTGCAGCCGCTACGTCGTGACAACGTTTCTAGGCACGCTCATTGCGCCATCTCACTGGTAATGTTGAAAACACGATAGCCCCCCCCCCCCCCCCGAGATGCCCGTCAGCAATGGTAAGTGCTAGATACACATAGCCTGCCGTTTTAACGTCGAAGGACGTTATGCTCGGTGGCTCTGTGGTTAACGCCCTGCACTCACGATTCAGAGGACTCAAGTTGGATTGTGTGGCCGGAGTCTTTATCAGTTTTTTTTTCTTTCTTGCATTTTCATATTGCCACGGGCATGGAACGATGTTTAGCCATGCCTATGCGAGTATGTGCCGTGGTGTGAAATAAGAAGAGGACAGTTGGTGTGCTCGTGCTCTAACGTTCGGTTCGGCTCGACGTCCAGTTCTGCTCATGTGAACAGACGTTGTGGTCATTCTGTGTTCACGTGACATTTTCTGATGGAGGTGCTGGGTAGTGTTGTATGCACTGCAATCAGCAGCAAGGTCCCGACACTCGTCGCGACTTGGAAGAACCAGCTGACCTACGTCGTAGCAGACGACAACTAGGCCTACCTCCTGAATTCGGACCATTCCCACAACTCGGCAGTACTATGGCTAGTGCGGGAACGCAAACCCAAGAAACAAAAACGCTGCCTCCTCCATGGTTCTTCAACGTCCCGCGTACTCCGAAGCCGTTCCACAGTGAGCCTTACGAGGACGTCGATGACTGGCTTGACGACTACAACCGTTGTGGCAGCGTCAACGAGTGGAACGAGCAGCGAAAGTTTCAGTAAGTCTACTTTTACCTTGAGGACTCTGCGCGCACTTGGTTCGAAAACCATGAAGCCACTATGACAACCTGGCCAGAGTTTTGCAACCAGTTGCGAAATACCTTCCGAAGCTCTGACCGAAAGGAGCAAGCGGAACGGCTCCTCAATTCCCGAAACCAGCGTCCGAACGAGAGTGTTGCCATGTTCGTTGAGGACATGACGCGGCTGTTCAGGCGAGCCGACTCCTCAATGACGGAAGAGAAGAAGGTGCGCCTCCTAATGCGGGGAGTGAAAGAGCAGCTGTTCGCGGGACTAGTGCGGAACCCTCCCAGCACTGTAGATGCTTTCCTTCGCGAAGCCACAACAATGGAGAGAATGCTAAGGCAGCGTTCGTACCAGTATGAGCGTCCTGGCAGTTTTTCGTCAGTGTCGTCGGCCCTACCAACACCTGACGTCACGACTGTAAAAGACCTGACGGAGCTCGTGCGCAGTATTGTGCGCGAGGAGCTGCAAAAGCTGCACGTGGTGTCTTCTCCGCCCCATGTTGCTGCTCTAACGGATGTCGTTCGCGAAGAGGTCCGGCAGCTGGTGCACCCCATGACGAACTCTGCGTGCAGCTGAAGTCCAACCCATGACGGCCCCGCGTCCAGCCGAAGCTCCGCTATTAAAGTACGCGGAAGCACTACGTACTCCTGCACCGGCTGTTGGCTATCCGTCCCGTCCGTCCACCCTGCAGACGGCACCGTCGATCTACTCAGGACTACCGCAGTACGGCAACCCACCCCTTACACGGAAATCCAGTGTATGGCGTGCTCCCGACAACCGGCCTCTATGTTATCACTGTGGTGAACCAGGTCACATCTACCGTGAGTGCGCCTACAGGCACATGGGTCTTCCTGGCTTTCGTCCGGATGCTCGTCGACCCAGAGATGGTGAGCGGCCCCGTGCTATCGCCGAATACTTGGCAAGCCAACGATCTTCAACCCTTCCGCGTCGCCAATCCCGCTCACCATCTCCCCGGCGTTCCACGTCACCTGGCCAACAATCAACCTTTGCAGACGTCCTTGCAGGAAGATCGCCTAGATCCACAAGCCCGCGCCGGGGAAACTAAGAACAGCGACCTCTGGGGGTGAGGCCGCTGTTGATCGACCGCTACAAGACCCTCCCCCGATTTGCCTGCCGACATCCGACGACATTCTTTCACCGACGTGTGCCATCGATGACAAACGGGTCTCTGCTCGTATCTCTGTCCTTGTCGGCAACCACCCGCGGACCGCTCTGGTAGATACGGGTGCCAATTATTGTGTTATAAGCGCTGACCTCGCTGCACAGCTAAGAAAGGTAACGACATCTTGTGGACATGGAACCAACCTCCGGACTGCGGGAGGTCACCTATTGACACCGCTAGGAATGTGCACTGCCCGCCTCCGAATTCGTGAGTCGACGTACATTGTTTCCTTCGTTGTATTACGCGAATGCTCCCAAAACCTGATTCTCGGAATGGATTTTCTCCGCGAGCATGGAGCCATTATTAACCTTCGCGACCTGCTCATAACGTTATCTAACGACCCTACAGCCCTACGAAAGAATGCAGTTGCGCCGACCACAACACTTCGAATTGCTGACGACACCATCGCACTGCCGCCGCGAGCCAGTATGTTGGTAACTGTGGAGAGCGACTGTGACAACAAGAGTAGTGGCATCGCGGAAACTAACCTCTCGGTGCTCTTGGCTCGGCGGATTTGTGTCGCGCGTGCTATCGTCAAACTGTAACATCGGAGGACTCAGCTTCTGATCACGAATTTCGGTGGCCAGTACTAACACTTGGCAAAGCGAACAGCAATCGCGAACTTTGAAGCCATCGATGACGAAGAATGTTCCACTATCGCTCCGATTGCCACTGCTGCCGAAGGTAAGACTGCATTAGCCAGTACAGTTGACGTGAATTGCCAGCTATCCTGTGAGCAGCAACAGCAGATACGCATGATTTTACTTACGTATAGTGATTGCTTTGCGTCCACCTCCAAAATCAAGCAGACCCCAACCGTGAAGCACCGCATTATAACGGACCCTACCGAACGGTTTGTACGACAGCACGCCTACCGCGTGTCGCAATAAGAACAAGAGGCAATACGTTTTCAAGTGAAACAGATGCTCGACGACGACGTCATCCAAGCCTCGAACAGTCCATGGGCGTCACCCGTCGTACTTGTTAAAAAGAAAGACGGCACTCTTCGATTTTGCGTCGACTACCGGAAGCTCAACAAAGTGATGAAGAGAGACGTCTACCCTCTCCCACGCGTAGATGATTCACTGGATCGACTTCGACATGCCCGATATTTTTCCTCAATGGATTTACGCAGCGGCTACTGGCAGATCGAGGTCGATGAACGTGACAGGGAAAAAACAGCATTCATAACTCCTGATGGCCTCTACGAATTCAAAGTGTTACCATTTGGATTGTGCTCTGCACCGGCAACGTTCCAAAGGATGATGGACGCCGTCCTGTCCGGTCTGAAGTGGGAATCCTGCCTCGTGTATTTAGACGACGTCGTTGTTTTTTCCAAAACAATTTAGCAACATTTACAACGACTTCAGGCCGTCTTCGTCGCTATTCGATCCGCAGGCCTATCTCTAATACCGGAGAAGTGTCATTTCGGCTACGAAGAACTAAAGTTCCTCGGCCACCTTATCAGTCACGATGGCATTAGACCAGACCCAGAAAAGACCATGGCTGTTGCTGCATTTCCTCCACCTTCGAACAAACGGGATTTGCGCCGGTTTTTTTGCAGAGCTTTGCCAACATCGCTGAACCCTTTACCCGTTTAACGAAAGAGGATACTCCTTTTGTGTGGGGTCCAGAGCAGAGAGCCGATTTTTTGTCTACATATATATATATATATATTCATATATATATATATATGTAGACACACACAGATATATATATATATATATATATATATATATATATATATATATATATATATATATATATATATGTGCGTGTGCATGTGCGTGTGTGTGTGTGTGTGTGTGTGTGTGTGTGTGTGTGTGTGTGTGTGTGTGTGTGTGTGTGTGTGTGTGTGTGTGTGTGTGTGTGTGTGTGTGTGTGTGTGTGTGTGTGTGTGTGTGTGTGTGTGTGTGTGTGTGTGTGTGTGTGTGTGTGTGTGTGTGTGTGTGTGCGTAGATACGCATGCACATGCGGTGAGTGACGGCGACGCCCACGTCAACGCCGGCGGAAAAATCTAGTCGAGAGTGTCCATATAATTACTATCAAAATAAAAGAAGCTACCGAAATAGAAACGTGAATGTCGTTGTGGCCCTTAGCCACTATTGTGTGTATAAGTTTGGAATCGCGGAGCGTCTCTCATATTCATATCGTGGTTTTGCGACCTTAAGACCTAAGAAATATTGATATAGTAGTTCGTATTTTATACTTGTAAAGAACCAGAATTATGTATCCTGATGTGCTGCATCACTTTGATCAGATTGCTTCAGAAATGAGAGGCACTGTACCTGTTTGGACTGCCAAAGATGCTGCGAATATAACGATAGCGCCGACACTTTGCTGCAAGAAAAATGATTAAGAAAACAAGCGTCAAACAAATGGCATTACCCTTGGTTCTGCGCTATATTGTGATAAACGTAACACTATGATCTCCTTAGTCAAACGAACTAGTCTGTGAATCGCTAAGTATACTTTTTTTTTCAAATTAGCGCCTCCAAACTTCAAATGAACATGAAAAAACACGCCACTTGGTGAAGTTTGTGTTCACGTGGCTCTCGCGCTTCCGTTTTGTGAGGTGGGGCCATTTTAGAAAGTTACATCACTTGCTTTGTCTATGCCGCTGGCTTGCTACATTACTGCTCGCAAGTCTCCATAATGGGGATCGCGGAGAAATATCCTTAAGTGTGTCTCTTGGGTCGCACTCAGAATGCATTATGTAAAGCACATGAATAGCCAAAAACTGTAAAAAAGCGTACCTTTGTCGCAGCAAGGGGCGGGAGTTCTTACCGTACTTACAGAATGAAGAATACCAGCATTTTATGAGTTTGCAGTTTGTCAGTCTTTATCTTTATCTTTGTCACTTTGGCGAAGTTCACCACGTAAAAGTAGGGTCGAATAGAAATCTGTTTCCCGGGAGGTGCATGATTTACATTGTAACCGAGTCTTGGGAGTGAACACAGTTTTTCCGGTTGCTGCAATTTTGGGTCTGTGACACTCGTGAAGCCGAGAAATACTTCACGCACCAGGACACGCTAATATTTTGGCAAAGAGTACGATATGAGATGTCCACCTGCTGTGGATTCGTTCAGAATGGGGGCCTTGAACCAACTGTTATTAAACTGTGTGGTGAATCGCAATAATAATCGCGTGTTCATTAGGATGACGCATGAAAGCGTGATTTGAAATACATAATGAGACCCTAATATCAGATAAATTTATCGGAGAAGCACTTTTCCCATACGTCGACGCCTGGTCGACTTGAAAGATAAAAAAAACATTAACAATTAGCAATATGTAATAACAACAGGCATGCCACACCAAGAGCTAATGTGCGATAAACTACACAATAAAGCCGTGTGTAACAGTCAACACTAATGAAAACCAGTGCACATCCGCACAAAAGGTCGTTACTTGCCTGCGGGCAAAATCCGGCTGCGGCGGCTGCATTTCCGATGGAGGCGGAAATGAAGGAGGCCCGTGTGCTCAGATTTGGGTGCACGTTAAAGAACCCCAGGTGGTCTAAATTTCCGGAGCCCTCCACTACGGCGTCTCTCATAATCATATCGTGGATTTGGGACGTTAAACCCCACATATCAATCATTGCCTGCGGGCAAGGGATTGGAGACTGTAGTGATAAACTACTCTGTATAGTTCTCTAAATGAAAGTGAGTCAAGCCTAGATGATGCGGGGCACATCAATGTCAACTGCTCTTGGTATTGCGCTTGTGTCTCGTCATACCTAAATCTGGCCAATGCTCTTAAAATAGACTTTTCTTCATTCATTAACATCTGCTAATGCCCACATCACAAGCAGTGTTGCGGAGTTGCCACTTCAGAATCAGAATGAATCCGAAACTATTCCATATTTTCACGACGCCTGAATAGATTGGGAGTGAAACTAGGGCATTTTCCCGGAATGAAATATCAATAAAAATGCGCCTTTTTTTCAAATATAGGGTACGTTGTCGTATGCGCGCTGTTTGTCACAGCCTTGAATTTAGCAATAAAGCAGTATTTTTAAAATGGCTTGGCTGTGTAAAACTACGGTACTTATATAAGCTACGCGACCGCTACAATTTTGCCCTTACATAAGAGGCGTTGCATCGAAGTTTGTTTCTATTTGCATAGCCACAGCTCTATGCCTTTGGGGTCCTTCGAGTGAAACTACGGCGGCATACCGCATAAAACCGAAGCACAAAAGCCACGTGATCACAAACTTCGCCGAATGGTGTTTTTTTATGTTTTGTATTGCTTGATGGGGTTGTTCTGAAAAAAAATCAATACTGACGAACTGGCAGAGTAGTCAGTCTTGTGATTTTTTCTCCTCGGCAGCGCCCCTGCCGCCCGCAGTCTACGCACCCTTTTATTCTTTGTTTTTGCTTTTGTCGCCATCGGAGACTCACATGCATATTCAAAACAATGCTTCTATGAGGTGGGTTGCGCATTGACGCTGATCCGATGCTTGTGTTCACTGTAAGCTTTCGTATACAAGCTTTCGCGCCATCCCACCCTTTTGCAATCTATCCCATCACACTCCATGAGTTCTTCACCACTAAATACATGTCAGTAACCACTTGATATCTACTCTCAAAAGTGATGCCAAGCTTTTCGTAAGCTTGCTTGCGCTAAACTTCTTGTCTTATATGCACACTGATTTTGTATTTCGTAAGAAATACTTTTATGTCATGCCAGATTGTTCAAACAGAACAGCCGTTAGGAAACAGACTTTTCGGCTAGTCAGTTCGGTACATTCAATGACGTCAGAGTGCAGAAACACAAGGACCCAAGAACAAAAGGAGAACGTGCGCTTGTCTTTAATTCTCGTGTTTTCTATGCTGCAGCTTTATGGAATGCGCCATTAAATCGTAAGATTCCGCGCATTAGGTGTACTTACCGTCAAAATGAGGTAAATGGCGCATGCGCTGACAGATATTGCACTGTTGAATCGCAAACGGATGTACTGCGTTCAAAAAATATATATACGTAAGAAAGCTTCATTATTGTACAAGTAAAGGCGATAGCTGGGCTATCAACTACTTATTAAACAAGAAATTATTTCAACACAGCTGATGAGAGCACCAACCAAAATGTACCGCAGCTGAAAAGTAACAGGAAAATCATGATAAGGATAAACGTTCGTTTTAAAAGCAAAGCTCTCGCACAATAAATCTTCAACGCGTAAGGCACCAGCAAATAATCTATCGCTCTCTCTCTCTCTCTTTATTTCTTTAACTTTTTCAAGGATTCAGGTTTGAGGATTCATAACAAAGTGAAAGCAACTAGGAGCATTGTTTTAATGCCCGAACTTCATGCCATGCGCTACCAAAATGTGTAAATGTGTGTTGAATTTGAAGTGACGAAAGCACAGCTTGTGCAAAACCAGATCCGTCAGACAGGCTAACCCATGACGGTCGGCTGGTGGTGAATGTGTTCAATTGCTTACACAAAGGTTAGGGGATCGAACCCCGACCATGGTGGAAAACAGTTTTGCTGGAAGTGAGAATGCTGGACGCCTGTATACTTAGATGCACGTTAAATACCTACAGGTTGTCTAAATATTCAGAGCCCTTCACCGCGGCACTCGTCATAATTATACGGTAGCATATAGAAGTAACCTTCAGCAATTTTTATGATCGGCTAGCATTTTGATTCTACCCTATTTTTAACACTGGTATTTTAATTTTCTTTTGCTCTGGCACCACGTTATTCTCGCCAACATAATATCTGTTCACGCTCTAATAAGTAGTATTATAGAAAGCAGTTACATATTGAAATCATGAATTGATCTTATGCAGACACTAACGGTGCGTCTTACTCATGGCTTCAGGTGTTGAAACCCAGCAAGGAAACAAGCCACAATCACACTTTATTGTAATCTTTTGATTTGGCTTCATAGAGTACTAACTTCGAAGAAGAAGAAAATATCTGCATTGCGTACATGCGGTGTGTGTGTGGAATATTTTAAGTTCAATGTTCATAAAAACGCAGACATCTCCACGACAGCAATAATGATGACAGATGGATACAGGTTCCAACAGGAAGTGCATGTGCGTGATCTGCGTGCCTCGCTGGGGGGCCTGTCGAGTGCTCATGGGTAATAAGCATTTCGGACAATAATGAGCGCTCGTCTCCATTCAACGGCTGAGCTAAAGCTTTGTTTACATATTTTACAATCACTAATATGTCAACGTTTAGCAGCCATGCCAGCGAAAACAAATCCGAAGATTCGCATATGTACGAACTCATAGCTTGCGCCCATTTTCAGAAAACAATGTCAAGGCTGGTGGCCCAGAAAAAACATATTTTCGTTGAAAACAGATGTTCTACTGACCTCGAAGATCGATGTCACCCCGAGTTTGTAGATCACAGGTACAAACACGTGCGTAGCGAGTGGGAGAAGAAATAGCGGCATTATTCCCGCCCACATTAGGTGCCAGCCGTAGGCGTAATAGTGGGCAGGTATGGCAACGAGTCCCGTTGACGAAAGGATCGACGCCACCGTGGAAGCGGCCGGAGGAAGCATCGTGAGCGTCCGGCTTCCGAGGAACACTTCCAGCGCAGCGGAAGTTGGACCAGCGTTTCGTCCATGCTTGTGTAGGGAGAAGTAAAGACCCACGGAAAGATTTCCCACAACCACAACACCGAACAGAACGTACTCAATGGCGTTCATCCCCGCTATCATCTTCGCTTCTTTTCGTCGCCAGAGCCTGTTCTATCTTTCCTGCAAGATACATTTCGTTATTTAGTCAACAAGTATGGAACAAGGTCATAGGTATTTGCTGAGTTTCAATAGTTATTAGTGTGATTGGTGGATTCACACAATTCTCCTTGCTCTTTAGTAGTATATGAAGGGAAATAGAATAAGTAGGTTTACAACTCGAGAATGAGTGCGATGCATTAGTGTCTGTGATCGCAGTTTCTTAACACGTGTCAAAACAAGCAGATTTCGCTAACGATGAAAAAATTGAAGGAATAGGATTGATATATTTGCACACCGTCTGAAAACATCGCCGGGCTCCAAAGAGAATGATTTAGTATTTTTCTTCTCTACATTGATGTCTTGATTTGTGCCCTCCATCTTCCTTCGATAGATTTCTGCTCCTAATCTCGTTTTGCACTTACTTTCAGTTGTTCATTTTTAACGCGACAGCTTAAGGAGATAGTTTTGCAGGAATCTCAGCGTCGGTGTTGGTATCCCGTCATTGGTTGTTAGCGAAAAATCATAATCTTGTACGAGCCCAAAAAATCGAGAATGGTTCAAATAAAATTGATCACAAATGTTCTGTGTGCTAGTGGTGATCAAAACAGCGAGTTGTTTGCGTGGCAAGCACGTGTTCTACTACACAGCCACGCGTCTGCTTGTGAACGCAGTGAAAAAAGCTTCCTCTGCTTAGAAATGCAGTGTAAGACTTCCATGCTTAAGAAACACACCCATCTTGTATACAGGGTGTCCATAGTAAATTTAGCCAGAGTTTAAAAATATGCCGGAACACCTAATTACGACGCAACCAAATGCATGTTGCTCACCGTTGCCTGAAGTTAGTACAGCTATTTTTTTGTGTTCTCAAGTTTTGTTTAATTAGATATGTTTATTTACCTTTTCGAAGAACGTGAAGGCAAAAAGAATTTCATTGAGAAAGTTGTAGATTGGTTTGCTAAACATCCAAAAAGATAGTTTTGAACTTTATATATGTTAAGTATTAGTGTTTTCCTGCTAATTTCAAATGCCTGCGACATACAAAAAATAGCACGTGACGAACTTGTTCACGTGTCAGAGCGCACGATGATTCTACTGCTCCCTAACGTTCCGCGTACGAACGACACGCTTCTCTTGCACCAGTTCATGACTGCGATAAGCAGTCACAGCGGTTATCGTTTTTGTGGCCGATAGCAAAACGTGTTCATCGTAAAGCCACCAGCATCGTTGCGGCCCAGCCGAGACAACAAAATGGGGCCAAAGCTATGGTCGTTCGTACGCGGAACGTTAGAGAGCACTAGAATCATTACGTGCACTTGCGCATGAGCGGGTTTGTAACGTGGTATTTTTGTATTTTGCGGGTATTCATATTTGGCAAAAAACACGAGAACTTGAATTGACTTGAATTTTATTGGTCACACTTCTTAGAAAATATTTGCATACACTGCGTGGGCCCATAGCCATAGGCTAGTTTGGGTCCAAAAAGAAAGAATTTATAAAGGCACTTCGGAAAAGTGTAACTAAAGAAGTGATACAATATCAATAAAGAAATAACTAAAGTTGTTGACTAAACTGTTTGAACTTAACAGATAAAAAGTTCAAAACTATCTACTTCGACGTTTTGGAAACCGATCTACTACTTTCTCAATGAAATTCTTTATCCATCTTCGTTCCTTCAAAAGTGAGTTAATTAAACAGACCTAATTAAACAATATTTGAGAACATGAAAAATAGTCTAACTCCAGGCAACAGTGAGCAACATGCATTAGTCACGTCGTAATTACGTGTTCCGGCGTATTTTCAAACGCTCGCGAAGTTTACGTGGGACACCCTGTATACATACTTCACATTACAACATGAAATATTGCTGTAACAATGTGGGGTACAAGGTTAAAGTGGCATCGGGTGTCAGAACATGTGATTATAAAAATCCCTGCATGGTTTAAAGCCGGTAATCCACCACAAAATGTATACATGGTAGCGCCTATGGGCGTAAGGCCCTGTTGTGATTTATAGAAAGTTCGAAAAGATTTTATGCACTAAGTGTTTCAAGAGGGAGGATATTGCTATCGCATTCAGCCCTTGAAGGCGAGTCTTAAAGATCTCCCACTTTTTAGCGCGTGTCCCTTCCTCTATTCGCTTTCTTCCAATATATATTTTCCCTCTCTCGCCCCTCAGTGCAGGGTAGCAAACCGAATGCTAGAAATATGGTTGACCACCCTGCCTTTTTCTGAATTTAAGCTCTCTCTCCTGCAGGATTGGAGTCGTTTGAGTTTTCTGCGCTTTAATGGTGTTGCTGAGCTTACACCACAATTGGCCAACATCTCATTACATGACAGTGTGATGTGATGAGGTCGTGGTAGCCTTAGCTACGACCTACATTGACCGTTAAGTTCTTCGGAATTAGATTGAGTGTCCATCGTTATATGACGCAGATGCGCTCTCTTTTTTACAACTGCTATGTTTATACGAAGGTACAGCAAAATAAAGGCGTAACCCTTTGGAGTTTGTCGACTCGCTTTTGCGATCCTTCTTCCTTGTGGCCCTCGAAAAAATCCTCCCAGTTACACTGTTTCGGTATGACGCGTATTGGTGATCTAGTAAGTAGGCTATTGTAGCGTACGTACGGCATTTAGAACATCTTTGTAACTAAAATTTGTTGAAGTTATTGATACCATTGCTAAAATGAAATAAAACTGCCCGAGTTGCGTTCCGTCATCCCACATTGACCAGACTAGAACTTTTCGTTCTAGTCTCGTCAATTAGCTCCGAGTCCATCAGAAGTGATAAAACACTACTTCATTCTGGTCACACACACACACACACACACACACACACACACACACACACACACACACACACACACACACACACACACACACACACACACACACACACACACACACACACACACACACACACACACACACACACACGCACGCACGCACGCACGCACGCACGCACGCAAGCACGCACGCACGCACGCAGGCTCCCAAACCATTGGGAAACCGCAGGGCTTCCCCATCGGCCCACTACTGTGGATTATCGGAATACGCATCATACTCGATTTTCCCGCTCCACCTGGCGTACACAACAGGCCTATGCGGACGATACCATCATTTGCATCACACATGCGTCCAGACTGCCGTTACAAGCAAAGGCTGAGCATGTCTTGACTTTAGTATTCGAGTGGGCGTGAAAATAAAAAGTCATGGTAAGCGCGGAGAACTTCTCTTGGTGTTTTTCAACAACGCGCACATTGGCGAATCAAAATACCACCCATTTATATGAATGGATGGCGTTTTTCTTAAAACAATGAATACATTCGAACTCTAAGCTACCCCTCTATTTTTGTGCTCACATTGACTACATATAAAATAAAAGCTGCATTGTCCACATCTCATTTTGTCACGTATGTTAAATCGCACCACTCGCTAAACAGTACACTAAGTCGACTACTCTACCGCCAAGTCATCCTGCCGTCTCTCGCTTTAGCATTTCAAGTACGTTGGCCTACAATCCCAACCAAATTCCTCAGGGCGCGATTTTTATCGGCTCAGCGAACCGTATTAGTTTCTTTAACAGGCACATTTTACAGCTCACGTGCGTCGTCCGTACATGTTTTTGCTAGCGCACCACCATTACCACTTTAGGAGGACAGACTATCTCCAGAATGTTCCCCAATAATTCGCCAGATTATAACTCACCATGGTGCAAAAACAAACCGGTTGATATTCTTTATTTCTGCAGTCCGTGGGCTCATTACCTCAATGAATATTATAAATTCACATTCACAAAAATTCATTGTCACTATAAGCGGTTCTTTCCAAAACATAAGCCATTCACGTATACAACAACCGCTCATACACGTCATAAGTGCGAGAGCGGCATAGAATGCTTTGACCAAAGATATAAAAAAAATATATGTGTAGAGAAATTTCAGATAAGCACCGCTTCAAGCGCATGCTTCACGGAAATATTTGAATTTCAAGAAGCACTTTATTTCGTTTTTACAAAGAACTCTAACATGCCAACTCACATTCACACAGCATGTAGAAGACGCTTTTTTTTTTCTAAAAGAGCCTTATGCACTTTACTGAAACTGAGAAAAACACACTTCCTTCACCTGACAATGTGGTTGGGCCAGCTCAAAAACTTTTTTTTTCAGTATGTTCCTCTCCCTTAATATTACAAATCTATATTGTGATATTGTCACTATTGTGGAGTAAAGCTTGTATTTGGCTCATATGGATTGACACAATTCATTTGGTCATATTAGCTCGTGAAATAAGTGTAAAACGGCTCGAGTGTATGATATTGCAATATGTAGCGATAGAATTGGCATCATACTTGTCCTTCCGTCACTGCCGGGCTTCGACGCGTGGGCGTCATAGCGATCACTATAGACTTGGAGAGCGAGTGGGCCTTCGTGTGCAAAAGATGCATTATTCTGGACTCTCATCAGTATTATCTTGTTCCTGGCATCAATTGAAGGTCTTGAAAAGCGTTCCAGCTAGTTTTATATCATGCCATTCATGACCACTTCTTCTTCTCTAGGAATAGATAGCCACCCGATATCTTTATTTCATGCCTATATTATTTAAAATATACCGTGTTGGAGTAAACCTAGTACAAGATAGTGTTGCGCTAAAAGTCGAAAAGAGACACTACCATGCAAAAAGAAGTAGGCAAGTCAGCTTCTTGCCTCTTCACAATCATGTGTCTTCTTTAAACATCATGTCCTTTAGTAAGTACTAACTCGCGCTAGAAAACCTAATAGTGGAACGTAAACACAGTAACAAAGCAACTAAGACACAAATGTAACGATTTTGGGTGACCATGTTGGTTGTTTTGATTCATGTTTGTTGGCGCAGTGCTAGGTTCAATGAACAGTGGCTCACTTTTATTGAAACAGCTGGAGTATTAGGCTCATTTTTGATTAGAAACTGTCGTTTCGAGCTTGTGATACAATA